ATAAGATTAATAAATATTAATCAAGTGGAGGTTTGATTTAATTGATTAAATTGGAGCCAAATGGGGAGAACAATAATAATATTCTAGTGGGATATATTATTATTTAATTTTATTAGGATTTAGGAATTAATTTTATTCCTTATTTAATATTCCATGAGATAGGGAATATTCCTTCTAGAATATGACCTAGGGTTAGGAGACTTGAGAGTCTTCTAGAAGGTGATGTTAGGAGAAACGAATCATGACCTAGTTAGGATTAATAAGTGGAGTAGAATTAGGATTCCTTGGCCTAATGGGATAAGCCCATATTTGACACCTCTTTAAGGTCCCTAATGGAGCCTATAAATACACCATGTCTCAACCTCTTGCCTTGTACATGTGAGTCACGATTTTAAGGTTCCTATAAGAAATAGAAAAATCGAGATTTATACACAATAGAGAGTTAGGGAGTTTCGATTAATCGCTCCACCGAGATTAGTCGAAGTAGGTGTTTAGGTAATCCATTAGAAGATTTTAAGGTAATATTTATCAAACCTTGAAGATCCAAATACTCTGGCCACTACTCGCCGCCGACATACCTCGCTCAACCAGGACTCCTCGCTCGACTAGGACTCCTCGATCGACCAGGACTCCTCGCGCCCCAGGAAACGTGCCGCATACGATCGGCATGACACAGACCCTGCTCGCCTAGTCCTCACAGGCATAGAAAAGCCGCAGCGCGCGATCCGCACATTCCTCCCCTGATCAGGACTCCTCGTGCGTATAAGAGACGTCCCGAGCACGTACCACGCGGGACCCGCGTGAGCCAGACGCCGCATGCCTAGTCCTTCCAGGCATAGGAAAGTTGACACGCAAGCGAATCTGTCCGCAACCCGAACCGCCGCAATCCGAACCCGACCAACTTGATTCGGTGATCCGTTCGTGATTCAACACTCGACTAGAGTCGACAAAGGCCAAACCCTTCAACCGATTGGGTTGTGGTAGACAAACGATCTCCATCAGCGGAAATCAGAAACGACTCAGAGTCGGCAAAAATTTTAAACCGTAAGTCCTAATCCTAACTATAGATTCTGCTGCGTTAGGATTTATTATTCAATAGATTTGAATGTGCACATTGTCAACGTTCCTAATAGAACCCAATAGATGCTACAAGCTCTCTAATTGCAGTTACAGGCCAGAAGAAATGGAAAATCTACTAGCTCGATGTCAATTCAGCATTCCTCAATGGCTACCTGGAAGAGGAGATCTATGTCGAACAACCTCAAGGGTTCGTGGCAAAAGGACAATAAAATAATGTCCTAAAACTAAAGAAGGCACTTTACAGATAGAAACAAGCCCCACAGGCTTGGTACAACCAAACAGACGACTACTTCATTAGACATGGATTCAAATGAAGCGAAATTGAGTCAACACTCTGCATCAAGACTCAAGATAACGACAACAAACTCATTGTTTTTATGTCGATAACCTTATTTATATAGGGAACAATGTTAAGAAGCTCAAATAAGATATGCTGAAGACTTTTGAGATGACCGACCTTGGAAAAGTGAGCTATTCTCTCAGAAAAATGAGCTATTCTCTCAGCATTGAAGTAACCCAAGAAGAAAAGGAGATATTTATCTCACAGAGGAAATACACAGATAATATACTAAAAAAGAATTAATATGGACAGCTGTAAACCAATGGCTACGTCCATGGTCGCGAACGAGAAATTCAGCAAAGGTGACGGTATGTCGAATGCAGAAGCATCCACATATCGGAGCCTGATTGGAAGCCTACTATATCTAACGGCCACAAGATCGGATATCACGTACGCGACAAGTATACTGACGAGATTCATGCAAAGTCTGAGCCAAGTTCACTATGGAGCTGTGAAAAGAATATTGCGATATTTGCAAGGCACTAAAGACTATGGAACCCAACAATAATATAATGAAGACTCAAGACTGATTGGCTACACAGACAGTGACTGGGCAGGATCAGTTGACGAAATGAAAAGAACCTCAGGCTACACATTTTCACTTGACTCAGGCATATTCTCGTGGTCATAAAAAAAGCAAGACTGTGTGCCACAATTTTCTGCAAAGGCCGAGTATGTTGCAGCAGCACTAACGACAAGTCAAGCCATTTGGCTAAGGCGTATTTTAGGATACGTGGGAGAACACCAAGAAAATCCGGCGAAGATATACTTCGACAACAAATCGACGATAGCAATGGTAAAAAAATCCCGTACATCACAGAAGAACCAAGCACATTGCTATCAAATATCATTTTCTAAGAGAAGAAACTAATGACAGTCAAATAGAACTTAAGTATATCGCCACAGAGGAGCAACTTGCAGATATTTTCACACAGGCTCTACCAAGATCAAGATTCGAGAAACTTCGTGAAAAACTCGGAGTTATCCAAATGAGCATTAAGGGGGAGTGTTAAATACTAATGCTCATTAAGTTGTTGCTCAATCCTATAAGTAATGATGTAGTTGGTCAAAGACGGTGGAACATTCATGATATCCTCACTGCCTTAATTAGCCGCCTAGGTACTCCTATATATATGTGCAGAATGCGTGAATTCATGAGACAAGTAGAATTAATCAGATAAAAAAGCACCCTGCCCCTAACTACAATTTCTCATAATCCATAAAATAGATATCTATCTATATCTATCTATCTATATCTATACTATCATAAAAGAGCGAATGTTTTTGTAAAAATATGAACTATCTAAAAGACTCTTACTTTGACATATTTTTAATGGCGAATTAGTAGACAATAATACTCATCTATCTTTTATGACTAATTAAAAAATGAACTACCTAAAACTCCTTACTTTTGCATATTTTTAACAGTAAATTAGTAATACAGTAACGCCCATCATATCTTATATACTTTTAATTTATAACTAATATTTAATTCACTAAATATAATACACTATTGTTAATGGTAAAATAGTAATACACTAATACCCATCATATCTTATATTTCTAATTAATAACTAATATTTAATTATTTAACACATATACACGAACAAAATATTTCACATTTCCTAAAAATCAACATCAATATTCTCGTACCATTAATCCTCACGAATTTGTTTCTTCCACATATCTATCAAAATGTTTTCTTTCATATCTCCCAAAAAACAACCCAGACAACAAAGCTTTGAAAGTATATATATACTTGATGTTTTGAACAACGTCATTATTATTAATACTGTGAAATCTTAACCACATTTCTTAATTCTAATATATAAAAGGCTTTTAACGTAAATTGATCTAATAAGAACAACATAACAAATACTTATAAAGAATCCAAATATTTTCAACTATTTATTTACAATTTTAACAAACGATAAATCTCGGTAAAAAAGAACAACTTAATTGAGACGTAACTTGTATATAATAAATAATTCTAAATATACATACTTAACTTTAATTAAGAGAAAATACCTAAAATTTTACTGAAATCATGCACAGGTGAAATATATACATAATCTAATAAACTAGAATGTGACACAATTAATCTAACTACTTCATTGTTTAAGAAAATAAACTCTTTTATTTAGAATTAGAATAGGAATTGCACTTTAGTTTTATTGAATTGAATTTTTATTTCACAAAAATCGTCATTTATTTGTTTGTTTGTTTTTTTCAACCAATTTTGGTCACAAAGTTAATGTTGATGGGCGTTTTCGATCAATGATTAAAGAAACAAATGATGAAAATACAGGATAAGAAAATGACTAGGAGATACGAGTTAATTACGATTTTATTAATAGATCACTGGGTTGGCCTCTCGTACGAGGTCGACACTTGTGATATCCTTACAAATTCTTACAGAGATTGAGTACAAGTTTTTAGAGAGAGAAAGTAGAGAGAGAGTCTGTTAGTTGGGGATTCAACAACCCAGAAATAAATGAGGTGGGCTTTTATTTATAGTGCTCTTAAATGTGGTATTGTTCAGGTACTGTTCACCGGTCTTGTCACAGAGCGTTTCTGGCAGAGCAGTCCGACACCTCCCTGACAGATACTAATGCGATTTGAGGTTTTCTTAATCATTGTCTGTCAGGCATTTAATGCACTCATGGGGGGCATTTAATGCTGACAGGCTTTATGTCTTTGCTAGTGAGGTAGACCGGCAGGCTACGACGCCCTGTCCAATCACCAATGATTACTTTCCAAGTGGCATCACTATATTACTTTCTGGCTCCGCACCTGCCTCTGGAGCAACCACTCTGAAGCCTCAGTTCGGCTTCCGAGCTCATTCTGTCCTTCCGGCCTTCTGAAGTCTCACTTAGACCGTCACCTATTCGAGGTCGGCGCCGGTGCTTGAACAGAACAAATGTCGGGCTCGAGAATAGACCCACAGAGATATGATGGTCAGTTTAACTCAGGATTCAGCTCGACACTTGCATATCTGACCGGGGTTCCGACTCGGCTTTTGGAGTTTCCCTTGTCCGGTTTCCTTTTGAGGCGAACTCGGATGTCAACAGGTAATAAAGTTAACGAATCTTCACCTAACCATTAGTGAACATTTTTCTAATCATTAACACTTAAAACATTTGAACATTTTTCATTCAATAATTAACTACAATATATCATGATATTTTAATTATTATTACTTTACTGAGCCAAGATGTGCGCTAAATAAACAATGATAATTAAAATTTATATATGGCAAATATTTTTTATTGATATTATTTTAAGATTCTTAAATGATTTTTTAAATTGTTTAATAGAATTTGAGAAGTTATTTGACCATAAGTATCCTATCAAATAAGATAATTGTTTCAGTAATATTTATTTGATTTTGTAAGTTAAATAATACTTGTATATATAAAATTTGAATTCGTTAATGTTTGTCCACATAACGACCACAAAATATAGAAACATTATTTTTCAAAATAACATATATAATGAATAAATTGTGTAATAGTATGAGAACATACTATTTAAAAACTGCAACCCTTCATAAGGTACACAATACTAAGACCATAAAAACTTGGACAATAAATGGAACAAGTGCACTAATCGTGATCCACTGGGCCCAAAGTTCATCACCGCCTGTGATCTTCCCAGTGGAAGATTCCCATCTGAATCCCGTATCTTTATTAACCATATTGTAGAACCGATGCCAATGCTGCTTCAATCGATCATGCTTACTCGTGATTTGTGTTATCTCGTAATAATACTCAGGACCACATATATCGTTCAGTTTTTCTTGGATCTCCATCCAATTGCATTGTTTGAACTTCTGCCCGATGCACTTCCCCAGGATAACTTGGTCCAACATCAACGATATGAACCGAGCCTCATTCTCTGGAGGCCCCTTTGCTTCTCCTTGTTTAATTTGTGAAGGGCCAGCTTCAGATGTGGACATCTACAAATTTTTCACAAAATACAGCTCCAAGATTGTATTGTTTACATCAAAACATTATTAGAGTGTAAAAATGAGCAGACCACAAATATAAATCGAAAAAAGGTCAGCATACAAATCAAATTGAGCAACACACCAGCACCGAAATTGAAATCAGGCATATCACCCCAAAGAAATCAAGTTCAACGAGACAGTAGCACAGGAATACAAATGCACGCATTTCGCGCCTTCAAAAGCAACTTCATGAACACAGCACAACCCGGCACAGTTCATCGCAAAATAAGGGAAACTGATAAAAATAACCAGGTAGCCTTCAAATAATTACGAAAGAGACATAAGAGATGGCATGCGATACACAAATTATCGATTCCCAAGTTGTATGATATGTAAGCCCTATTTTTTAATTAGCGGTTCCCAAATAAACCAAATCGCATATACAAAATCTTTCTTCGAGTAAATCTGGGGAAAATTCACCGACTTGTATATGTTATTGAACAAAAGTTTGCGAGAAGAACACATGTAAACCGAACTAACCTTTCTTCTCCGTTTTTTTTTCTCGGGCGAGTTCACCGACATGCTGCTGGTGCTTTCGCTGCGCGGATCCCGCCTCTACAGCGAAGCTTCCGGCAAACGAAAAGGTGGAACCAGAGCTCATGATTTTTTCAATCGAGGATGAAGGGTGATTTATTGAGGAAAGGGTGTTCATATGTTTGAAGAACGAGAAGGGTAAGGTGTTGCTTTTGTCAGAAATGTTATTTCAATTTAATAATACAACTCAAAATAGTTAATGAGGGACATGAGCTGTTGGGGTGGGCCTGTTTTTTCAAAATGGCCAAAAGAAATATTCTGTAAACACTCACCAAAAATCCAAAATCCTGAATTATTTCATTTTGACAGAATTAATTCATAAACAAGCATCCCTTTAGTCCCATAATTACCTAAGCTTTTGCTCAAAAAGGAGTCGAAAAGCAAAAGTGAAAGCAACTGACTTCTCGGTCTAAGTTTGACTCGCTAAGGCTCGTACTCAATAGGTGTATGGTGATTTTCCTTGAAGCTCCTAAATGTATGGCCAAGATGCTCTATTCTGTTGGACCCAATCTTCCATTTCAAAGAAATTGCCTCTATTCTGTTAGACCCAGTCTTCCATTTCAAGAAATTGCCAAGAGCAGCTTTTATAAACCAAATATAGTAAAATCTCAATTCATTTCAAGCTCTGTAAAAGAACTTTAGATGTTCAAGGCTTGTCAGACAGTGTGCACGACACAATAAAATCAGACACTTCCAACAAAAGCGAAGATGAGTGGAATAAATGTAAAGGTAACAAAGGAAAAAAGAGTCATACTCACAAGAGCATATGAACAAATGGGTACTAAAAGTTGATCAAAATTACATTTGCAAATCAATTCTAGATATTATGCTAGCACATGCATTACACATTGGACAAGGCTCATATCACATGTATTTTTTATTAGGAGGACGACCTTCCTTTTCCAATCTAGTCTTATTCATGTGTGGGATTTTATACTTATTGGAGCCTCCAACTTCCATTATTTCTCGCATGCATAGTTGTAGATTCAAGAAAATATGATCCAGCTTTCTTGAAGGGTACTCCTCAAATCACTTTTGAACTGCATGGATAAGTTCTTCCAATGTTCTCGGATGTCTCTTATGTTGTAATGCTTGAAGGGCACTGAAAAATCCAAGATCCAAAATGTTTAAATCCGGAGAATTTGATGGTCGACACATTAATCGAATGTCAAAACTATTTTGTAAACCAACCATTTGAAACTCTCTATCGGTTGGATCAACATGAGTTTATGCATTATTTTCAACTGATCTCAGAGTTGTTCGCTTGCGTAATGGAATTTCGCCCACTCAATGAGGATCGATGTACACTCTCTTTTGTCCACATTTTCTCGTTCTTCTGTGAGACACGTCTACTAATGCTCCATTTGAAGTATCTTTTGCTCATTTCCATACACGTTGACCTCTTTTGTTGTGTCTCATTTCAACTTTCCGTTGACACTTCTTGATAGTAAAGCATTATAGATTGTACATCTTTGCTCATTAGACGGGTTTTTCTTTTGTCTTCTTTCTTGTGATCTTGTGAACATCATAGAACAATTAAAAACTTGAGTTATTTCTATATTCTAACAATTTAAACTAAATGATTTTTATATCTTGTTTTTGTACATATAAATATACTAGAAACTAGAAACTTACAAATGGAAACATAATGATTTTTTTTAAGTAAAATCTAAATAGGAGGAATTTCAGGAAAATATATCTAAAAAAACACGACCTCATTGTTCTTNAAAAAAAAAAAAAAAAAAAGAAATAAGAAATAAAACACGTGTCGAGGATCACTAAACTGTTTGCAACATCAAATGTAACAATGTACAGATTAATTACTCGTTATATCTGAAGTATTTTTGCTCTCAGGTTTCAGTTGACAGAACATTCGAAATCCAATTCAAAGCTGCAGTTTCAATCTCTGAATCTAAAATGCACGTAGGGTGAGAATGAAGTAATGACGACAAAGCCATTTTGCAATGGTTTCTGTAATGATAACCGAGAAAAACTCAAACTATATATTCAATAATAAATGACGAAATAATATAACACATTACAAATAAGGAATTATGTTTTCTAAGAAAAATGATGTAAGAGCCAAATTTTCTATAAATGAAAAAAAGTGCCCAAGTTAAGTCCCGAAACGTCTTCATCATCTTCTTGCAATCGGTTAACCTCTAATTCTATTAGTGGAGTTTCAATATCTTAATGTGGATCCACATTCAAATCAAGAAACAAGGTACCTTCCACAAATAATAAGACTGTGATCGTAGTATTATCCTCGATCTACTCATTGCTTGATGGTTCCGAATTCATTGGCGCCACATTTAAGTCGAAAAATGAAAACTTTTATGACATGATTTTCTATATTTAAAGTCATTGTTAGTTTTTGAGTCTTGTTTATATATAAGAAACAAAGCACAATGATACTCTTCAAAAATTGGCTCCATGTTTATTTTGAAAGTCATTCACCAAAATTTTAAAATTTTTAGAAAAGGTATGTGGAGGTTGTACGAAATTTTCATGGGAAGGAGAAAGTGATTAACATTCTAACTAATCAAGAGGAACAAAATAATTACATGAAAATAGTGATAATTAATGTGAGGGAGAAGAATTATAAAAAAAATACAAATACTGATAGTTGATGTGAGAAACACAAAAATAATACTCCTAGAAAAATANGATAGATAAAAAAAAAAAAAAGAAATACAGATATAAAATGTTTATATCGATTGGAAACTGAGAAAGAGTGAAATACAGAGATAAAATGTTTGTATTGATTGAAAAACTATACATCGACTAAAAAACTGATAAGAATATCAGATATGAAATGTTTATATGGATAACTATCGTGGAAAACTTAAAAGGAGAGAGAAAACTACTAAAAGTGTATTTAAATAAGATTAGAAGATTTAGTAAAGTCTAAGTACATTTGTTCTTTTAAGCTAAAACGACAATTACTAAAGAATGGAGGGAGTAGGAGGTATTATGAATAAAAAAATAAACTTTTAAATTACTTCACAAAACAAGAAAACTCAGGCTACTTAATTGAAGCCTTGATAGAAGCAAATAAATTCGGTATAGCATATTAGGAATTACAGAAAAACCATAACTTCAGAAATGAAAGAAATTCTCTATCATTTCGTTAAAAAAAATGAAAGAAATTAAATAACTTAATTTCTAGGAAAAATAAAATATTATTTGGAAGTATTTTGAAGAAGAAGCAATAGATATAGATCAAGCAGAAGGAATGTTGTTATCCCCGTTATATGTAAGGAGCAAATATTTTCTACATTGAAAGGTATAAAAGCAAAAACTAGGAATAAAGTTTCTTACTTACATGTTTCTATGATACAAATGATTCTTAAATCAACTTACAGCCTAGTAATCGATTCACCTATCACAATGAGACTAATTGAAATGATTGAATATTCTGATGCTCTAATAGCTGAAGGAAGTGGAAATCTAAAATTTGGTAAAATCAAGTTTAATTTAAACTACCAAGTTGGAATGACGATATTATACAACAATTTAGATGACTTTTGTGTTGGAACATGAAAAGAATAATAATGGAAACTAGAAACAATACATTTTCAGTAAGATCAAGAATAAACTATGCATTGAGTTCTTCAAACCTCATGATAAAATTGATATTAATAATTTGTTTTCACCCATATTAAAACTAGAAGCGCATAAAAAGACTTTTCAAATACATAGAATTTCGTCTTTCGTTAGATCTAAAATAGACTACATTATTTCTAAGCAGAATAATGAATAAAATGAAGGTAGTTCTTCAAAAATAGATACTTGTACTGAAGTAATCACAAAACCTAATAACAAAATATATAAAATTGAACAAAAGGTTGGAGAAATAAGTAAATAATTAGAACTTAAAATATAATTTATATATATATATAATAAGAATTACCATTTACCAAAAACAGTAGCAAAAAAATAGGTCAGAATTTAATGCAGCCTATAAATATTAAGTTTTATTATTTTTCTTACTTTTATCTTTAAAAATCATACAACATTAAATGCTACCTTAAATTTTGGGCATTAGTTCATTTTATTATTTAAAAATCCAGCTATGATCTATTAGTTGTGCATGTTTTAATTTTTATTTTTTTCTTAGAAACAACGAACAACATTAAAATCTCGGTTTCTATATTTAAAAAATCTCAATTCAAAACATAACAAGAGTTTTAGAATCTCTGTCTTTATATATGTGCCTTTACAAAATATATATATTAAACGCTAAAAATATTCTTGAAATTGCGTAATCAATCAATTAATCTTAATTTTTTTTTTAGAAAAAACTACTATGTTTATTTTTTATTAATATGCATAAAGCAAAAATAGTTAATTCATATTTATATATATTATTTATAATCTTAATATACTATCATTTGGTGTAGACATTTATTATATGAATCATAAAATTATATATATTTAAAGAAAACTAAGGGAGTTTCTACTATTCAGGTTGATTGAATTACTGTTAGGTGATATTTAAAATAGTCAAAAAAATTTGACACAACTTGGTTAGTCCAGGTGACTAAGTTATGTATTAGTTTGGCCAGACCAAACCGATTATTAAACCTAAATATAAATTTTAATATTTAAAATACTTTATTACTTGAATGTGATGTGGTTCAGACTTCAAATAATTGTATTAACAATACTTTTATGACAACATGTTTAATGGTTTATGAATATCTATATATCATTTTATTAATATTTATGTGAATTAAATAATATTTTATTATAATGTTTATTAATGTACATAAAATATAAGGTTTTCAGAACCGGACTGTCATCGAAACGATCAAGTTATTTTATAAATCATTTGTGGTTTGTTCATATTTTAATTTATAAATATTTTAATATATATATATATAGTACTTTTAGTAATAAATTTAAATAAAATGGGTTACTTAAATATCTAAACAATTTATAAATTCAAATGTATAAATTAATTGATATATAATTTATAAATCTCTATTTTATTTGAATATGTTATTTTATTTAAAATAATTTTAAATGTAACAATTTATTAGAAAACCGTATCGATCCAACCAGTCCAACCGACTGGTGTTACGGATTTGATAACAAATATTTTATTCACGCGAACTAGATTGGTTATAAACCGGTTCTCGATCCATCCGGTCAGACTGTGTCCAACCCAATTTAATTGAAAAATAATGGATAAATCATGATTAATGTTATTTATATATTTAAATATAAGACAATCGTAATAATTTTTTTTCCTGTGCATCGCACGGACCACGCACTAGTAAGTTCTAACAAAAAATATATATATCAGATAACGAAACTACTTTCGTTATATCATAATAGAAAAAAAAAACAATATTCGTTATATAACATATATAAGGGCATTTTTTACCTTTCATTTGCCATAATAATTTATAAAAGATGAAAGCAGATCATTTGCACAAAGAAGACCTTTGACTAGGTGAAGATCCCGAAAAAGAAATTGCTGAGAAAGAAGAAGAGTTTGCAACAGGCTTGCAAGATAAATAAAAAAAAAAACAAATTTGCTAACAATTTCTTATAAGAATTCATTTTACGGAGAATGCTACAATCCTGTTACGGGATGATTCTGTTGTTCTTTTTAGCCGTAGATACACATGTAAATCAGTGATGTGTATGATAATCTACGCTTACAAAAAACAACAGAACCATCCCGTGACGGGACTGTAGCCTTCCCCTACATTTACTCTCTTGTTATCATAATTTGTAGGGCACAGATTATTCTCGTTTCTTGTGTTTCTTTCCTTCATCCAGTTTGCACCGTATCATTTACGTAAAGTTGCACGAAAAATTTCTGAATTATTTTCTAACATTAATTGTTTAAATTAAAATAAAAGGCCCATCACACAACTGTCTTATTTTATTACAGTAAAGAAACAATAACATTCATGCAACTATTATAAAAACACAGGGCTTGTTCTATTATGACATAATATGGTAACAGCAGCAGTCTCCATACATTACCATGAATTGCAGCCAAGATTCTTTCACTGACATGCACAACAATATTGTGATGAGTTCAAACCCCATAATTTATACCCTTATTAATTTCTTCACTCCTTGACATGAATAACCGGGTCAAGAGATATCGGCGCAATACTAGGATCAGCCACAACGGCCTCCAGATCCTCCCCACCACCTCCCAAATAACATTTCAGAAACGCAACCACAATACCACCAACACTTCTCCTCATAAGATCCTTGGAGCCTTTCCCGCTTTTCAACATGCTTCTTATCATTGCAGCCGTCCTATCCACCCTGTCATTGAGCATGTCACAATGCCCGTAATCCCTGGCCAGAAAATAACACGCGGGCGGCTTGCTCTCGTTGAAGAATTCCGAGTGGTTGACACCGTCAGGAGCGCCTGGCGGGAATAGCCCCAGTGACTGGTTGCCGTATCCGGTCCCGATTATAGAGATAGGGATCGCTATATCAAATATACGCGGAATGAATTCGAGGATTTTGGGGTCAGGCAAGGATGAGGGAGAAGAGCCAGCCACTGGGTCGATACCGATTAAGGCTTTGAAACTTGGGTTTGTTGTGGTTAATTTTCGGTTGATTGCTAGGGCGAATGCAGTCTTCCCACCCCTGCTGTGGCCTGAGAGAGCTAATTGCTCCATGTCAGCATTGACCTTTTCGGGTAGGACGCTGGGGAGGCCCGTCGATAGCCAGTCTGTGACTTGGGCAGCTCTTTTGACTTCCTCGGGAATTGAGATCCATATAAGGCCATAGAACTGAGGGAATCCGAAAACGAAGAGTTTAAAAAACCAAGTTATTAATCTCATGGGGTATACATGTAGTGGTCTTACCTTAGGAGCAACAACGATGTAGCCATGGGAAGCTATGTGCTGCAAGAGGGTGGTGTAATTCGTGTTGGCTAGCATGAAGCCGTGGCAAAAGAGCAGCACTGGATAAGTTCCCTTTACGGCGGGTGAAAGTATTAAGAGTTCCGTAGGAGGTCTCGAGACATTTGAAGTTCTTACTGTGGATGTGGTAACTTGATAATTTCCGATTTCGAAAACATCAGACGCGGCAGACACTGTAGACTTGGCATCAAATGTGGCCATTTTTCTTTTTTCTTTTTTTTTTTTTTTCTTTTTTTATGTTGTTTAGTGAGTTCAGTTGTACAGTTTCTGCTCTTCTTATAGAGAACCATTGGTGGAGAAAGTCTCACGTTATAGTGATGCTGCTATATTCAAGCATTAATGTGCTGCAACTGCATATGTATTGGTTAGATAGGAATTTAATGGACAAATTTATATCGTACTATGAGAGATTGTGGGCACACATTCCTCAATTATTTAGGTTCATATTTTGTTTGCTTGTAATGCCGCTTCTTCCAAACTAGTGGCGTTTCTCATAGCAACATATTCACCATTGGAAATAATCAAATCCATCAATTTTTAACAGTTTCAGTAGTAATTCCAGCCGAAAAAGCCGAGCCCTAGCCTAAAAAAATCCACAAATCTTCCCGCCCGGTCGAGCTTCTCCACTCGTGGAAGGTTTTCTTTCTCCACTTGTGGGAGCTTAATTGTAGTTATTTGTGTTGTGTTTTTGGTTTTAGGTTAGTTATACTTTTAATTTTCTTTATTTTCTCATTTCCACTTATATTTTTATTTTGGCGTTGAAATTGTGTATGAAACTATTGCCAATGTTGGGTAAAAAATTAGTTTAGTACCTAAGAGCATCTCCAATGGTGGCGTAAATTGTAGTCTACATGGCAATCAAATAGAAGGCTTTCTCTCCTGAATGGTCTAAATCACTCTCCAATGGTTAATGTCTGTACCTAAAAAATACCTTAACCGCCAAACAAACTTTGAACCAATCACAAACTTTGTTGTCTTAAATATTTTAATAATACATAATTTTGACAAAATATATACCATTAAATTTTTTAGAAATGTATCAATTTTTTCTTTTATTTTTCTTTATGTAAATTAATATGCTTTTTTGATAAAGTGTGTACAAATAAATACCAACAAACTATAATTTATTCAACGACTTAGATTATACATTGAAAATTTTCTTCAATTATAGTTAATATTTTTGTATATACTAGATACATGTTTTAGCAAATAAAATAATCATTCCATAAAATAATCATTGCATAAGTTTTTTTTCTTTCCCAATTCTCTAGTTCCCGCAAATTCTCGTACGTTAGCAGTTTAAGCCTTTTTCTTAACATAATTATATATTTTAATTAAAGATAAAAAAAAGTAAATAAAGGAAAAAAAGTGAGTCATCAAATCTAGAAGTACTTTCACATGTAGAAAGACTTCTAGAATTATTTTGTCTCTCTCATGCCACATCACCACCAATAGAAGTAAAAAAAATGACTGCTGGAGAAGTTTTTTATCGTACCACGTTTACAATCCCACAATTAACAGCCCATTGGAGATGCTCTGATGTGCTCTTGATCAACCTTCTGATGGTTCATCAACGATTTACTCTCCGGAGACCTGCAATGACACCGGAAGGTGTTCCCAATGTAAAACATCCAACACTCAAGTCAATAAAAGGCTATGGAAAGATGTATGGAATTGTACCGTAAAACTTAGAGTGTATATAGTGTGATAACATTTTACCTTTCACACTTCTCTTCTGTTTACACTGAATCCTTGGCTTCTGGAACAAGCTTTTTTTGGGTTTTATGAGGAACGCTGTGGATGTACACAATCGAATCTAATAAAAATAAATCCTAGCGTAGCGGAATCTATATTTAGGTGTTGATGGACGGATCCGATCAACGGTTAAAATAAAATATTTTGGATATGAAAGGACGGAATAAGGGAGAAGTATTGCGGAAAAGGAAATTTATTACGTAATTACGAGGTCGGCCTCTGTGAACGAGGTCGGCACTTTTGTTACAGTTGGAATTCCTACGGGAATTTATTACAATAGAGAAAGTAGAGAGAAGTCAGAGTTCGTTGAGATTTCAACAACCTCAAAATAAATGAAGGGGTTCCCTATTTATAGTAGTCTTAAATTCGGCACGGTTCCTCCACTGTTCATCCTATCCTGTCGTACAGTGCATCTGAGGGACAGACCGGCGTTTGCCTGAGAGATTGGGCGTGAAGTTTTTCTAATCATTACCTGTCAGGCATTAAATGCTGGTATGGGCTGCATTTAATGCAGACAGACCTTTAGGCCGGATTAGGTGCTCTAGGCTGTCAGGGTATGGGGACATGTCCCATCTGCAATCATTACTTGACAGTGGCAATATTTTATTAGCCTCGGGCTCCGCCGTTGACCGGGCGCCGACTTCGGGAGATCTCCAGGTTGAACCTTCTTCACCGAAATGTTCCCCGGGGCCAGGGATCCTTCTTTTTGGCTCGGCACCTGACAAGGTCGGATCCGCTCATTCAAAGACAAGGCGCCGACCTAGGAGTTGATTCTACTCATTCTCAGAACCAACTGTTCTTTCAAGTCAGACCGGCGCCTTCTTGACCTTCGTAGACCAGACTGGGTGTCTAGGCCATCCTCCTCCGGTAGATGAGATTTGCAAGACAGGGTCTTTATCTATGAATCAAACTACTGAGATGGTTGACACATTAAATGAGAAATCTTCCAAGGGGGTAAGACTTGTGTCTGTACAAGTCAGTGCTATTCTCTCTTCTAAGGTGCAGTCAATTTCAGTGGTAGGGCTGTGCTGGTGGACAAGAAGCTGTAGATCTGGCAGGGCACTTGGGACTAGGCTGCAAATAAAGAGGAATCAACTCTGTTAGGGTTAAGGTGGGCTCTAATGAAAGCTATCAAGTTTGGTTGGAAGGAAATAGAGTGTTGTGTGGATGATCGAGCTGTGGTGCACAATCTGCAGTTGACTTGCTTTTTCTCTTCTTCTCTTTTTTCTAATTGTACTGATATTGTAAGTTTAAAGAGACTTTTGGTGTGTGTTTGTTTTCGTTGTGTGTTTAGTTGTTGGTTCTTTGTGTGCTTTGGTAGCCTTGATGGCTTGGAGGGGGAATGGTTATCTGTTGCCCCCGTACGATTAACCAGTTGGTTAATCTTATGTACATTTTCGAGTTTGGTTATATAAATTTATAAGTTTCAGGAAAAAAAGACGAGGCTGTGGAAATTAACGTCTAGATACAACTGTTGAAGGGTCGGACGATCAACTATTGAATATACGTTGAATTTATTGTTCAAAGATCAAGAACAAAATTGATAGAAAATAGTATTTCTTTGCATTCATTTGGAGAGTATTCCTCACTATCTCATGCGTGTTGTGTAGGTCAAAATAAAATGGAAGAAGAGTCCCCTTCTCTTTCCTCTTTATTACATATATATACAAGTCTCTCTAGCAAGTGGGCTAATTAAATAAATGGTATATTATTATTTAATATGAGATTGCTATTGTGGGACCCGCTTATGACTCTTGAAGATTCCGATTGACATCATTTTTTCGACAGTTGTGGCGTCTTTCCTGAGGCGGCTTTAGGATATCCACGTCGGTCGATCACCTCGAGTCCTGCCCGGCTCCGTAGCGGAGGACTTGTCATCTTGGGGGTCCGGTCGGTCTTTGGACGATCAACTTGGTGTACCTTTTTGTATATTTATTTATCACGTGTTTTCGGCTCCTCGGTTACTTGGCCGTTCTTGATTTATTTATATATTATTTAACTAACCGGAGCCAAATTGGGTATCAACAGGAGGCCCCCGAGTTTAGGACATGTTCTAGACTGAACTGTTCTGAAGTTGCATTTATTCTTGACAATTTGGCAATGTTTTTGACTCATTTACCTTTTGAGCTTCAAGCTCCTTGTATTGTGTAAGGATATATGCGTAATGAGAGACATTGATGATATCGCAAATATGGCGGATAATTTTCGTGTGATTCATGGGATCACTTTCTTATCTTGTCATCTTTACTTGAATGGATCTAGCGTACGGCTTTTTATTTTTACTTAATTATGATGGCACTTGCCTGACCGGTCTCGCGTTCGGACTCGGCGGTTCTGGCCTGACCGGACTCATCGTACTGAGCCCGGCTTTTTATTTATAGTTGGCGCTTGTCTGACCGGTCTCGCATTCAGATTTGGCGGTTCTGGCCTGACCGGACTCATCGTATACAGACCCTACCTTTTATTTATATTTGGCGCTTGCTTGATCGGACTCGGCGGTTCTGGCCTGACCGGACTCATCATATTGAGCCCGGCTTTTTATTTATACTTGGCGCTTGCCTGACCGGTCTTGCAATCGGACCCGGTGGTTCTGGCATGACCGGACTCATCGTACTGAGCCGGGCCTTTTATTTATACTTGGAGCTTGCCTAACCGGTCTCGCGTTCGGAATCGGCGATTCTGGCCTCACCGGACTCATCGTACTGAGCCCGACATGCGCCGGCCGGGTCATCGTACTGAACCCGACCTGCACATCATTACGTTGCTTGGATATTTACGGTCAAGGGGTTACGTCGGCCTAGCCGGAACGAGGGCTCAACGGCAGGCGAAGTAACTCCGTCAGCCCGGCAGGGCAGGGGCTCGTAGCCGGACTGGATGGAAACAATGGTCTGGCCGTAGCAAGGGCTCCACGGATGACTATATGGACGTAGGCCTGGACGGAGCGAGAGCTCAAAAACGGGAGAAGTGACGACGTCAGCCTGATAGAGCAGTGACTCGTCGCCGGACTGGATGGAAATGTCGGTCTGGCCGGAGCGAGAGCTCAACGACCGGCGAAGTACGTCAGCCCGACAGAGCAGGGGATCGTCGCCGGATTGGATGAACGTCGGTCCGGCCGGAGCGAGAGCTCAACGATGGGCGAAGTAACGACGTCAGCCGCACAGAGCAGGGGCTTGTCGCCGGACTGGATGGAAACGTCAGTCTGGCCGGAGCAAGGGCTCAACAGCGGACTATATGGACGTTGGCCTGGCCGGAGCGAGAGCTCAACGGCGGGCGATATAATGTCTTCATGGATCGAAGGCCTCGTGACCTTCCGAGACTGATAAGTGTTAGAGGAACGACCGTGCCTATCCCGAAGGCTTGCAGTAGACCTACTTCCCCCAATCCTTCCCTTCTCGACTCAACGACGGGCGAAGTAACGACGTCAGCCCGGCAAAGTAGGGGCTCATCACCAGACTGGATGGAAACGTCAGTCCGGCCGGAGCGAGAGCTCAACGGCGGGCGAAGTAG